AAGGGAACCAATGCCAAGACTCTAACCTTGGAAAACAATAATGATGATCCTGGATGACACTCTGGATTCTAACTAGAGAATCCTGTTCTCTAGTTACCAACAGTGCTATGGATTTCACAGAGGCCCAATCCATAGTACTGTTGGTAACAGCTGATCTCTAGTTTGAATCCAGACTGCCATCCAGGAAACATGAAGAGAGGAAGGTGCATTAAACCAATCCTTGTCATGACCACATACTGCATACAGTGTGTCCACATACAGAGTGAAGAGAGGGGCCAGGAAGATGGTTCCACCTTGTCCCCTGCACTGTGCTACTAATATAATATAATATAATATTAATATATTGTATATACATATAATATTGATAATATTATAATGTATTACAATATACTAGTACTACTAATAATATATTATTATTATTATTATATATTTTATATTACATGTAATATCACTAATAATATTACAGTATAATGGTATAGTACAATATAGTGATATATAATACTAATGTTGTGTTATGGTAATAATATATTATATTGTATTTACATATTACTTGTTAGCCGGTCAAAGTCCCCTTTGGAGTGAGAAGGGCAGCAGATAAATGTTGTAAATAAATAACCACTTTCTACTTAGGAGCCACAGTGGCACAATGGGTTAAACCCTTGTGCTGGCTGAACTGCTGCCCTGAAGGTCAGCGGTTCAAAAGCGTGAGATGGGGTGAGTCCTGTCTGTCAGCTCCAGCTTCCCATGTGGAAACATGAGAGAAGCTTCCCTCAGACTTCCTGTCTACGCCCATCAAGCTCCTTAATGTAAACATTTAAATCAGTCTCAAAAAAAGTCTCAATTGCTTATGGGATAAGGATAAAAATTGTTAGCAATGGAGAAACCAGCAAATGCCAATGAAATGTGATAAATAATAACAGAATATGGTGATTTCTAACACTAATGGACTTCATGTCATGATTTCATGACCTAACCCTCCCACAATCTCTCACACACATAGGATAAGGTCCTAAGTCCCCACAGTCACTTAGGGCCCCTCCCTTGGAAAACAATGATCACCCAGGATGGAGATGAGCACCACACCCCAGAATCCAACACGACTGGACTTAATGCCAGGAGGAAACCTTTACCTTTACCTTAAGGCTGTGTGGAAGGGCCCTTAGTTATCTGAGTCCACAGTGCCATATAATGTATAATATAACGTACAATATAATGGTATAATACAATATAGTAATATTTAATAATGATATAGTACTATGCTAATAATATAATATATTGTATGTATATATTAATCATTATGCTGTATTCTGATACAGTACTGAAAGTCAGACTCAGACCCAGTGGAGCCATGAGCAATGAAATCAAAACATCAACTGGGGTGAGACAAGGGTGCATTTTAGCCCCTTTCCTCTTTAACTTCTATATAAATGACATCGTGAAAACATTGTCCTCTGACAGTCTACATCAGGGGTCCCCAAACTACGGCCCGCGGGCCGTATGCGGCCCGCCGAGGGCATTTCTCCGGCCCGCGTGGCCTGGCCTGGCCTGGCCACGCCCACCCAGCCGCTCCGCCCATCGCGGGAACCCTCTGCTCCGGCCCTTATGCTCGTGTGGGAGGGAGAAGCCTTTTGTAGTTTACCTGCCTCCTTGGAGACCAGAGCGGCCGGAGCAGAGGGTTCCTGCGAAGGCTGGAGCGGTGCCGGGTGGGCGTGGCCAGCGGCGCCGGGTGGGCGTGGCCAGGGAACACTGCCGTTCTCTGGCCACGCCCACCCGGCGCCGCTCCGACCATCGCTGGAACCCTCTGCTCCGGCCGCTCTGGTCTCCAAGGAGGCAGGTAAACTACAACTCCAAAACCAAAGGACACTGCCCACCAAACCCTTCCAGTATTTTCCGTTGGTCATGGGAGAACTGTGTGCCAAGTTTGGTTCAATTCACCGTTGATGGGGTTCAGAATGCTCTTTGATTGTAGGTGAACTATAAATCCCAGCAACTACAACTCTCAAACATCAAGATTCTATTTCCCCCATACTCCACAGTGTTCACATTTGGGCATATGGAATATCAGTGCCAAGTTTGGTCCAGATCTATCATTGAGTTCACAGTGATTGATGGAGGCAGGTGAACTACAACTCCAAAACCAAAGGACACTGCCCACCAAACCCTTCCAGTATTTTCTGTTGGTCATGGGAGAACTGTGTGCCAAGTTTGGTTCAATTCCATCATTGGTGGGGTTCAGAATGCTCTTTGATTGTAGGTGAACTATAAACCCAGCAACTACAACTCCCAAATGTCAAGATTCTATTTTCCCCAAACTCCACCAGTGTTCACATTTGGGCATATTGAGTATTTGTGCCAAGTTTGATCCCGATCCATCATTGTTTGAGTCCATAATGATCTCTGAATGTAGGTGAACTACAACTCCAAAACCAAAGGACACTGCCCACCAAACCCTTCCAGTATTTTCAGTTGGTCATGGGAGAAATGTGTGCCAAGTTTGGTTCAATTCCATTGTTGGTGGGGTTCAAATATGCTCTTTGATTGTAGGTGAACTATAAATCCCAGCAACTACAACTCCCAAATGACAAAATCATTTTTTTTGAGTGAAGGACATACATTGGGTTGTTAGGTGTCTTGTGTCCAAATTTGGTGTCAATTCGTCCAGTGGTTTTTGAGTTCTGTTAATCCAACAAACGAACATTACATTTTTATTTATATAGATTTTGGATTATTGTATTATTTTTAAGTGTTTTTGCACTATAAATAAGATATGTGCAGTGTGCATAGGAATTCATTCATGTTTTTTTTCAAATTATAATCCGGCCCCCCAACAGTTTGCAGGACTGTGACCCGGCCCCCTGTTCAAAAAGTTTGGGGACCCCTGGTCTACATGGTCCTAATGTTCTGTCCAGAAATATTAACATATTGCTTTATGCTGATGACATGGTGATTATGGCAATGTCTCCAGTGGGACTGAGAAGATCCCTGGCAAAATTCAATTTGTATTGTGAGCTAAATTCACTCACTATGAACAAGGACAAATCCAAAATTGGGGTCTTTGGAAAAAAACAGGAAATGGTACTCATGGTCCCTGAATGGCGTTCTCCTGGAACAAATCAATTGCTACCAGTATCTAGGCATTATGTTCTCATCATCTGGTGCTTGGGCTAACCACATTACTCACAGTATACAAAGAGCAACAAAAGCGACAGGTTCCATTTATAAGCTGTACCATCACAGATACACATCTGCAGGTCCTGCAACAGAAGTGATCTTCTGACATTCCTCTTGCAAGGTCAGGAAAGATCCACCATAATTAGAGTAAGCCTTTTTATTCTGAAAGCCCTCAAGAAGAGAGCACATTTCCTGGATGAAGAACCAGGAAAATAAGACTCTGACTGTGAATAGAGGGTCAGCTGCTGTCCTCACCTTTTTTTTCCTTGTCTTTTACTCATGTTGTATTTTGTATTTTGAAATGGTCATATGACTGATCAATTAAATAAATTATTATTACTACTACTACTACTACTACTACTACCACTACTGTCAAATAGCTACCTTCAGTAAGTCTAAGTGCAATCTCTTGTCCTGTAGTTTGAATCCTGTAGTTTAAATTCAGAAATGTTTAAGGCAACATTTATGAAAGTCCCATTAATGAACTTCTTACTTCTTGGGAGGAGAGCAATGTCCAATCTCTATAAAATAGTGAAGAGTAGAGACATCACACTGGCAATGAAGATCCGCATAGTTAAAGTAATGGTATTCCCCGTAGTAACCTAGGGATGTGAGAGCTGGACCTTAGGGAAGGCTGAGTGAAGGAAGATCAATGCTTATGAACTGTGGTGCTGGAGGAAAGTTCTGAGAGTGCCTTGGACCGCGAGAAGATCCAACCAGTCCATACTTCAGGAAACAAAGCCCGACTGCTCATATTAGAGGCAAAGATGAAGTCCTTTGGCAGGTGTGGCTCAACCCATTACGCAAAGTAAGCATTTGCAGTATAGTTTATTTTGCCCAGGGGTGCTCTTGAGGTGCTCTTGGGGAAAAATAGACCTTGACATATGTGAGTTGTAGTTACTGGGATGTATAGTTCACCTACAATCAAAGAGCATTCTGAACTCCACCAATGATGGAATTGAACCAAATATGGTACACAGAACTCCCATGACAAACAGAAAATATATATCAGTGATTGGTTGGGGGGGTTGCCAAAATACTGTTTGCTTACCATTGAAAATTACCTAGGGCTGCCTCTGTCCTTTGGCCACATCATGAGAAGACTCGAAAGCTTAGAGAAGACAATTATGTTGGGGAAAATGGAAGGAAAAAGGAAGAGGGCCCGACCAAGGGCAAGATGGATGGATGGCATCCTTGAAGTGACTGGCGTGACCTTGAAGGATCTGGGGGTGGTGACGGCCAACAGGGAGCTCTGGCATGGGCTGGTCCATGAGGTCACGAAAAGTCAGAAACGACTGAACGAATGAACAACAAATTAACGAACTGTATCAATTTAAGCTTGGATTTACACACGTGTTTAAGTTTTAGAGTGCCATGTCTGTATATATATCTTGTAACCTGTTCTGAGTCCCCTTCGGGGTGAGAAGGGCGGCATATAAATGTTGAAAATAAATAAATAAATATAATCCAACTCGATGTGGATGTTATACAGAAGGGGCCTTAGTCCACATTGCCATATAATCCATTTCGATGTGGATGCTATAAGGCTGTGTGGAAGGGGCCCAAGCTGTGGCCCCCTTAATGTTGTCGCCACTGACTTCTCCTTCTTCTCCTTCCTCCTCCCCCTCCACGCGTGGCCCGCGCGCCTCCCTCCCTCCCTTTCTCTGCCTGCCTGCCTCCGTCCCTGAGGAGAGACGCCAATCCCTGGGCGGCCCTGAGCAAGAGGACTCTGCCGTCGCGCGCCCCCCCCACCTTCCCCTCGGGAGGCAGGCCACGCGCCAGGGACGCCGGCGGCACCGGCACGCCCGCACCCGCCCAGGCAGGCAGGCAGGCAGGCAGGGAAGGGAAGGGAGGGAGGGCGTGCGTCCGAAGGGGAGGGGGCGCCCCTCTTCTTCTTTTTCTCCCCCCTCCCTCCCTTCCCCACCCCTTCCCTCTCGCGCTCGGGCGGCCGAGGGAGGCTTAGGGCTGGGCTGCAGGCGAGCAGCGAGGCGGGCGGCGAGGCACGCACGCACCACGGCGAGGCGAAGGATGCTCCCGTCGCCATGGCAGCCGCGGCGGCGGCGGCGGCATTGAGAGGTAAGATGGGTCCCCTTGCTCGGCTCCCCCTCCTCTCCTTCCTCCTGCTTCAGGGTTTGAGGCCAAGCGAGGCCTGGCTCGTGCCGTCGTTCCTGTCTCTCAATATATACATCTCTCTCTTTTTTGCCCCCCCCTCTCTGCCCCCCTCCCTTCCAATCACCAGGGTCGCTGCCCCCTCCCTTCGCTTCTTCTCCTCCTCCTCCTCCTCTTCTCCCCCCCCCCACCCGTTCAGTGGTAACCATGGCAACTTGTTTGAGGTCACGCTCCCGCTGCCTTTTCCTTCTTCTTCTTCTTCTGAAGCCCAGGGACCAAAGGGCAAAGCAAGCATCTTCTTCTTGGAGTGCCATGCCTTCCCTTTCACCCCTCGAATTCCCATAAAGCTTTTTTATCCCTATTCCCCATCCTTCTCCACTATTTTTCTCCCTCCCAGGTCATCTCGCCCCCCCCCCCCCCCCCCCCCCCCCCCCCCTCTTGTTATGCCTCTCCTCCTTCCCTCTTTGCCAGCTTGCGAGTTCACTAGTTTCCCTTGCCAGACAGAACTTCCCATCTGGAACGGCGGGAAGGTTAGTGGGAGGCGGCATTTCACCACAGGAAGCCTGGTTGGGTTGGTTTTTGGGGGAGGGGGGTGGCGGGGAGCAATGGGAATCCACCAGTAGGAGCTTCACTGGGAACCAAGTTGCCAAGCTTGTCCCAAAAGGGAAAGGAAGGGCAAGGGGAGGGATTGGTTACCAGATTCAGACTCAAAAATGAACTAGTCACAAGTTTTGCATTGGATGTGACTGCTAAAGTTTTGGGTTGTGCTGGTCCAGGTAAATATATATTTTTAATTTATTTTATTTTGTATCAAAAGCATTGCATAAATTAGTATAAAACCAATAAAAATAGAAGGAGCGCAGGTGGCTAAATATCTTTTGACCAAAATATCTTTTTTTAAAAATAAATTGTATTGAAATTTTGCAAATACAGTGATTATGGGAGGGACAGTTGAGGAATGAAGGTTATTGGGGGGGGGGGAGTGTTGAAAGGGAAGGAACACAAAGGGAAAGATACAAAAAAGAAAGAAAAGTAAACATAAAATATATAGATTTTGTGTAGCATAACACAAAACATCACAAAAAATACACACATAGTTTGACTTCCATTCTTCTTCTTGGTGGTGTTCCAAATTATATATATAAAAATAGAAAATTTTCCTATAGCCCCTCCCTTCTAACCAAAGTTATTAATTTCTCTAGATTCTTGTTTTAAATTTGTGTATTTCAAAAAAAATATACAAATAAATTGTTTATTTATTTTCAATATATTCTTCAAATGTTTCCCAGTTCATGTGTCTCATTGGTCTCTCTGAATTCTTCCTTAGAAAGAAAGTTAGTTTGACCATATATCTTATTTCAATTAATGTATTTGGTCCAGGTAAATATGAATACCACTGGGGCTACCAAATGTGCCATTGGGGGCAGCAGGTGCCATGAGCTACTCACAAGTTTTGCATTTGATGCAACTGCTAAAGTTTTGGGATGTGCTGGTCCAGATAAATGTGACTACCACTGGGGCTATTAAATGTACCATTGGGGGCAGCAGGTGCCATGAGCTACTCACATTTTTTTGCGTTGGATGCAACTGCATAAGTTTTGGGTTGTGCTGGTCCAGGTAATAATATACCATTCGGTATATTATAATACCATAATATACCATTCGGGCTACTAAATGTGGTGCCGGAACAAGTACAAGCAGGCTTAGGGTAATAGGTATATTGGGCAACAGGTATATTGAATACACACACATGTCACAAGGACTGAGGACAGTCAGTAGGTTACTTAGTGGATACTTGAAGGTGGTCTGCTTACAAAAAAAGAAATAGGAAAACTGTTAATCAGAAAACCATAGCATGGGATGCAACTGCGGAAGTTTTGGGTTGTGCTGGTCCAGGTAATAAAATACCATTTGGTATATTATAATACCATAATATACCATTCAGGCTACTAAATGTGGTGCCGGAACAAGTACAAGCAGGCTTAAGGTAACAGGTATATTGGGCAACAGGTATATTGAATATACACACATATCACAGTGACTGAGGACAGACAGTGGGTGACTTGGTGGATACTTGAGGGTGAGGTGCTTACAAAAAAAGAGAAAGGAAAACTATTAATCAGAAAATCATAGCATAGTCCAGGCATGGGCAAACTTGGGCCCTCCCTCCAGGTGTTTTGGACTTCAATTCCCACAATTCCTAACAGCCTCAGGCCCTTTCCCTTTTCCCTCTCAGCAGCTTAATCCATTAGGATTTCTGGGAGTTGGAGGCCAAAACATCTGGGGACCCACAGGTTGAGAACCACTATCGTAGATTAAATCTTCCTGTTCCAGTTCTGGAATACTGCAAAGCAATGGTTTTGAAGTAATGATAGCACATGCTTAAGAGGCTGAGGAGGGAATGGAAGGGGCCTAAGGCTGTTGGAATTGTGGGTGTTGAAGTCCAAAACACCTGGAGGGCCCAAGTTTGCCCATGCCTAACTTAGAAAGAAAGACATGGTTATATTCTAAGGAGGGCAGGTAACCAGACTCAACAGGATAGCAGAGGATCTTCCATCAGCATTTGATGCCATTGACCAGGAAGCATTAGAGATAGCCTTCCCAGAAATATATTTGCACACATGGTAGGTGGAACCATGACCTATCTCATAGGAAGCAATATTATATTGATGCAGAAAGGATTTCTTTTTGTTTTGTGAGGCTGACTAAGTTCTCTCTTTCCCTCAATCCTTGAATGGATGAGCCCAAGAGCAAAATGAAGAATCATGGGGCAGGATGTACCAAGGTTATCAGACAAGTTTGATCAGTGGACAAACTTCTGGTGAGGCCTCTGTGGGATGCTCAGAATTGAAAGAGGCCGGGCAGGAGGACCAAGCAAAGGGTAGTGCCAGGATCATGGTGGGAGCTCTAGGCCGAAATCGCACGTAGGGCCTGAGAGCTGATGAAGAGAAAGCTGTAGCCTGATCACAAGAGGAGATAAACGGATTAGCAGAGCTAGGTGGGTCACAAATGTTAACAGGGATGCAAATAGCATATGTTTTGGAAGTGGAGGAAAAGAAGGGCATGTGCTAGCATTACTACACAGCCATTGCCTCAAAGTAGTCCAGAACTAGAGAAGGAAGATTTCATTTAAGAAATGGTTCTCAACCTGTGGGTGCCCAGATGTTTTGGCCTTCAACTCCCAGAAATCCTAACAGCTGGTAAACTGGGTAGGATTTCTGGGAGTTGTAGGCCAAAACACCTGGGGACCCACAGGTTGAGAACCACTGATCTAAGATATGTCTGTGTCTAAGGTCCAAACTCTAAATGACTTTCTTTACTTGTGTATAGGTGCTATTTAAGATGGGACCCAATTCAACAGGAAAGTTGGCCTGCTAAAGTGCCAACGATGTGCATTTTGCTCCCGCTAGTGCCCTTGGGGTTGTGACTGAAGGGTCTGCCATGTATCCCATTGGTCAGAACTCTCTGCCATCCAGATGGCAATCCGTGACTAACTGGGAACCCACTGCCTGGGACATTGTCATTTTTTACCTCATGCTAGACTGCCTCTGAGAGCAGAAGAGCACCTTTTCAGACCTGGGGAAAGAGGAATTAAAGAGGTACAAAGGAAACTAAGAATCTCCCACACAAGCTGGTACCTTCACCTTCCAAGGTGAAAAGAGCACACAGGTCTGGCATGCAGTTGAATTTGCTGCATATATTTCAGTGTTGTGCTATTGCAGTGATGTGGCACAATAGGTGACAAACTCTTTTAACAACTCATTGTGTGGGCTGCTGAATTGGAATGATTTCTAGGGGGTGGGAGGAGGCTGGAAGAGATGGGGCTGTTTTCTGATGTTTTCCTTTTCTCTTCTTTCTACAGTAAGGAGGGTTCTTTAAACCCTGAGTTGCCAAGAAACTCTGGGAAAATAATTAACCCTTCCTACAACTCTCAGCTGGCTACCTACAGATTCCAAACCAGAGGAGAGAATTCTTGCTGAGCTCAAGGACTTGGCAGATGAGCATTTTAGGCTCCTCTGACGACTGGAGTGCTCCCTGGCCAGAAGCTCGGGCATTCGGTGATGGATATCTAGTATTGTGACCTGTGAGAACCAGGCTTTACCGCTTCTCTTCCCTTCATTTATCCTTTGTCAAAGAGAGGCAAAGTGAGTGGGCTGTTATAGAAAGGTAGTAATTTTTAATTATGTGTGAGAGAGAGAAAGAGAAGGAAAGACAGGAAGCAACAGGAGGGAAGTGCTGACAGCAAAGAAATCTGTTTCTACCCCTTCTTTACCTTGTACTTTTTTAAAAAAAATCTTACCATATTTATTTTAAAGATATATATCTTGCTTCCTGTGTTCAAGGAAGCTCAAAACTGCATAAAAACAAATTACAACAAAAACAGTCTAAAATACAAATTTAATACAATTTTTAAAACCCCAGTAGAACAACTATTCAAATCCTATCCCCTTTGCAAATCCTTGCAGGAGCAAACCCTCATACACCAAAAGAATGACAATTCATATCAACAGCAAATTGGTAATTCCAAAGGCCAATGGTAAAATGGATTTAACACATACCAACTGAAGGCCATAAACAAACTAAGTTTACATTTTCATGAAAAAAATCTAAGCAGGATAATAAGGTACAGACTAATATCCTTGTGGGCAGGCCTGCATCTGTAAAAAGTTGAAACGATCCTCCAGTTCAGCGCAGATGCTAACTTTCCCTTAAAAACAAAGATGAGTCTTCACAGATAATCTAGAAGTCTAGTTTTCTCCATTATTCCTCTAGTTTCTGTACATTCTATTAAAAAGAAAATCTGGAATTAAATTCAGTATAACCTTCAATATAAAATAAAGTCATCTAAGAAAAGGGAAGGGGAAAAAAAGAAAATACATGAATCAAAAGAGGGATAATGAAGATAACAGAAAGAGAGTAAAGGACAATATTGAAAAGTATAACAAAGAATAGTGCAAGACAATGTGTCCTCCTTGTTGGTGTTTCTCCCAGATGTTATGTCCACATCTCCCTCCTATTTCCCTATGGTAGCCAATAAAATAGCAATACTGGCTCCTCTACAAGACTCCGGTGCATAATCCTTTGTGGTGCTTTCTGGAGCTCAATAAGAAGGCAGCATCATGAATCGTGGGGGAGGCAGCAGCCCCATGGAGGAACTATCTAAGGCTACCCTGCATAATAACTCACTGTGGTGGCTGGCTTGTGGGCTTCTTGCTCTGTTGGCCAACTCCTGGATCATCCTGAGCATCACAGCCAAGCAGCAGAAGCACAAGCCCCTAGAGTTACTGCTATGCTTCCTGGCAGGCACGCACATTCTCATGGCTGCTGTGCCGCTCACTACTTACGCGGTGGTACAGTTGCGACGTGAGTCCTCCGACTATGACTGGAATGAGAGCATTTGCAAGGTCTTTGTCTCCACCTATTATACATTGGCCTTGGCCACATGTTTCACTGTGGCCTCCTTATCCTACCACCGCATGTGGATGGTGAGGTGGCCTGTCAACTACCGCCTGAGCAACGCCAAAAAGCAAGCCCTTCATGCCGTGATGGGCATCTGGATGGTGTCCTTCATTCTCTCCACACTACCGTCCATTGGCTGGCACAATAATGGGGAGCGTTACTATGCCAGTGGCTGCCAGTTCATTGTCAGCAAGATAGGATTGGGATTTGGTGTGTGTTTCAGCCTACTTCTTCTTGGAGGCATAGTCATGGGCTTGGTGTGTGTGGGCATCACTTTCTACCAGACCTTGTGGGCACACCGAAGACATCACAGATGCCACCACCAGAGAGCAGAAGAAGCGGCCTCTTCTTGTCATTCAGTTCACAACACCTTCAATGTGCCAGCCATTGTGGTAGAGGATGTCAGAGGCAAAAGACGGTCATCCCTGGATGGGTCTGAATCCGCCAAGACTTCAATGCAGATGACCAACCTCATTAGTGCCATTGTTTTCCTGTATGACTCACTGACTGGGGTTCCCATTTTGGTAAGCAGCACCTCTTTCTGTTGTTTTAAAACACTTGTTTACTGACTTTGTACATTTCCAAGTTGATTTGTTTGTCAGACAATCTCTGAGCATCTGGCAAGGGTTTGTTGAAGTTTGCAGATTATTTGGGGCCATCGTTCAATTCATGTAGGGCATGCAACCAAATCTGCTGCTGTGTTCTCTACACTTCCTAGTATGCTGGCTAAAATATACCTGAATTACACACCTTTGCATGCAAACATTGTAGGAAAAATCAGTTGTGATGGACAAAATGTTTTTTGAAGAGAAACTTCTTTGTCAGTACTGGTCATCTCAATGAAAGCTCCCGCAAGCTTCTGGTTCCCTGAATCACAGTTTGGAAGCCACTGTCTTAGAAATCAACTAATTTCCTTTGTAGCTAGAGTGAGACAATGTGTGGTATTGTAAGACCTAATTGTCCATGAAGTACACAAGAAGTGTGATTTCTTTTGAGATTATTTTGCTGCAAGCAGCATCTGCTGGTGGGAAGACCAAAGCCAAAATTTGTAAAGAGCAGGTCCAAAAGTGCTATTTACACACTCCCCCGTTATCTGGTGCCCTGTTGCCCCATTGCCTCTGTCTCTCCATTCTCTCCCTGTCCTCTCCCCACCTTCTCACCCCTTGTATGTCTGCCTATTCTCTGATCTATGTGTCTCCTCACTTTCTGCCATACTCTCTCTCTTTCCTCTCCCCCTCCATCCTTCTGTTTGTCCATTTTCTCCGTTGATCCAAGAGCTCAAGTTGCAGGAAAGACTGGTCTTGCTCTCTATCATCTCCTTTTACCCAATGCCATTCTTCCTATTTCTAAGCTGTCTCTCTTAGATGAAAAGAGGAGGGCAGTGGTGGAAGGACAAGTGACTCTCCTCATGACTCACACAAACACAGACATACACATGGTTCTCAGTTGATCCACGGCATATGGGTATGAAGGACTGGGAGAAATGGGAATATGAGCAGTGTTTAAACAGAGAGTCAGATGGAGGAGGCATAGTGGGCCATACCTGGATGACAGCCAAAGGCTTCTTGTCCTGAACTTACCTATTAGGTTAATATGTCCCACCATTTCCTCTCAACCACCAAGGGAAAGAGATGGGGCTTATAAGGTTTTGAAGCCCTGCAGAAATATTTTTAAAAGCTGTTTGCCAGACAAAACTGCCTTCAAGTCTGTGTAACATAAACAGCATTTCATCTATCATCCCACATAAAAGAGAGAATGAAATTGTCATTTCTCAAGAGCCTGAGAGTGTGTTCCTGTGCATGGCCTCTAGAGGGCATAATCTTTGCCCAGAGAGACTCTTCAGTTTCTGTTAAGACTAGAAGATCAAAATAACTTCAAGGAAGGGAGCAAAAAAGAGAGGGGAGAGGGAGAGAAAGGCAGACAAATGGCACAAAAGTGTTGTGCTTTGAAATACAGAGCTTTGACAATCTGACATAACATTATCTTAAATAATAGGCAATTAGCACTGGATTGTACCCTGAATATCTAGACCAGGGGTCCTCAAATTAAGGCCCGAGGGCCAGATACAGCCCTCCAAGTTCATTTACCCGGCCCTCGCTCAGGGTCAGCCTAAGTCTGAAATGACTTGAAAGCACACAACAACAACAATCCTATCTCATCAGCCAAAAGCAGGCCCACACTTACCATGGAAATACTAATAAGTTTATATTTGTTAAAAATTTTATTCTCAGAGTCAGGTTAATGTTGTCCAAAGTGATAATAAACTCTATCTATGGATAAATACTGGTAGTTGACAAGAGTATCATAAAGGAATGTGGAAAAGAACTTTGAAAAGAGAGTTCAAGAAAGTATGAAACTGTTGTGAAAGCGTTTCTCAACCTGGGGGTCAGGACCACTGAGGGGGTTGCGAGGGGGTACAAGAGAGGTTGCCAAAGACCATCAGGAAACACAGTATTTTCTGATGGTCATGGGGGTTCTGTGTGGGAAGTCTGGCCCAATTCTATCGTTGCTGGGGTTCAGAATGCTCTTTGATTGTAGGTGAACTATAAATCCCAACAACTACAACTCCCAAATGTCAAGGTAGATTTTCTCCAAACTCCACCAGTGTTCACATTTGGGCATATTGAGTATTTGTGCTAAGGTTGGTCCAAATCCATCATATTTTGAGTCCAAAGTGATTTCTGGATGTAGGTGAACTACAACTCCAAAACTCAAAGTCAATGCCCAACAAATCCTTTCAGTATTTTATGTTGATCTTGGGAGTTCTGTGTGCCAAATTTGCTTCAATTCCATCATTGGCAGGGTTCAGAATGCTCTTTGATTGTAGGTTAACTATACATCCCAGCAACTAACACTCCCAGATTACAAAATCAATCCCCCTTCCCAACCCCATCAATGTTCAAATTTGGGCACATCGGGTATTTGTACCAAATTTGGTCCAGTGAATGAAAATACATCCTGCATATCAGATATTTATATTATGATTCATAACAGTAGCAAAAATAGTTATGAAGTAGCAACTAAAACAATTTTCTGGTTGGGTGCCACCACAACATGAGGAACTGTATTAAGGGGTCACTGCATTAGGAAGGTTGAGAACCACTGTGTTAGGAGAGCCTGGCACCACTCCAGGGCAGAGAAATCAAGTCTTGATCTGTGGTTCCCTCAGTCCAGACACTATGCTCCTATTAATGGAACCTAGTGTTGCATTTTTGTTGCTTTTGATTTTGGCCATCATGTCACCTATTGACTCATGTTAACTTGTGACCTACATACAAAAAGGCCCTAGAGCCTTTCCACATGTACTACGGTCAAGCCAGGTGTCAGTCATCCTCTATTTGTGCATCTCTTTTTTCCTGCCTAAATGTAATAAGTGTATCCTTGCTGAAATGTATTTTGTTAGTTTTGTCAGCTCTACAAAGTCTCCCAGCATTTTTCCCAAAATGCCTCTTCTTGACACTTCTTCAGACATTCTGATGTGTAATAAAAAAGAGCATGAAAAACCACTCACTATCTATCTAAAGATTCAAGATCTGTTCTCACAGTGGCCTCTTTTGGACATCCTCATGCTATGCGGGAAACCACAGAAACCTTAGCTTATTGTGGGTTGTAACATGCTATTTCCCACTGTCAGTTTGCACCTCAGCACAAGAAGAGTTGCTAAACAAACCATGCCTTGTTTACTGTGATGTCTGAAACCATTGCTGTGGTTCATATCCTCTTCCTTCCTTCATCCACAAAGAGAGAAAGAAACCATAACGCAAATAATGAATTCCTTCTCTGACCTTTGGAGGAGAAACAAGCCAGAGTAGCAGCTGTTTGTGGGGCTGGACATCACCTTCCACATCTTCCACTTCCCTGGTTGTTTAGTCATTGCAAATTGGATAAGTCAGCATTCGTCAGCACCCTGTCCTGACCTTACCTAGCTTATCCTGATGTCCCAATTCACACTTGAGTTCTAGTTTCCTTTCTCCACAGTGTTTTCTTAGATTACTTTTGGGAGAAGACAGGACAAAAATCTATTTCTATCCAATGTTCTGGCAGAGGAAACAGGTGAAGTAATTATTATTGATCTGGGTGATAAAAAGAAGAATTATTGCAGTTGTCTAGTTCAGTAAATTTCCCAGGAATCCTTGCTCACGTTGCTTGTTGGAATGTGCATCCTTATAGATATGCATTCCAGCAATGAAGAATAGATGAATAGGGTGTTCTAACTATTTTTTTTTTAAATACATAACAGAACATGTTGGCAAATGCATAGTGGCAGAGTGTTCAGACTGCAACTCCTTTTTTTCTTAATTACCAATAAAATTATTTTACAGAGATCTGTGTGTATTAATTTTGAAGCACCAATCTGGTGATGTCTCAAGTACTGTGGTGCTTGTAATCCTTTTGCCACTGTATTTGCCACAGCAGTTGTGATTACCCTAGAACCAAGATCTGGGGTTTTTTTTTTCAGTGGCAGATAGAATGCTGTTGACGTTCTGGGAAAATGTACCCTATATACTTACTTACTTACTTAGGTGATCCCTCGTTGTCTAAGTAGGATAGTCTTCCAAGATCAGTGTGCTGGTGGGTCCGTAGGTGACTGTGGAGCCCTATTCTTGATCTGCATCTTCTCCCGCAGTGAGGGCATTGGTTTCCAGGTGGAAGGCGGTCTCGGTCGGAGTTGGCTTGATGTGCCTTCCTCTTGGCACGTTTCTCTCTTTTGCCCTCCATTCGTGCCTCTTCAAATTCTACAGCACTGCTGGTCACAGCTGACCTCCAGCTGGAGTGCTGAAGGGCCAGGGCTTCCCAGTTCTCAGTGTCTATGCCACAGTTTTTAAGGTTGGCTTTGAGCCCAATATAATCTTGCAGTTGTCTAGTTCAGTAAATTTCCCAGGAATCCTTGCTCACGTTGCTTGTTGGAATGTGCATCCTTATAGATATGCATTCCAGCAATGAAGAATTGACTAAAATCATGGAATTTTAGTCAAAAAATCACCCCCAAAAACTTGGCCGAGTTATCCATGGGTCAATATGAGTACAATACCTTAACTCTTATCAAAAAAGCGATCATTCCCTTTTCTGTGCAGAGTGACAAATGGCAAGATCTTAGACTGGATCTACACTGCCATATAATCCAGATTATCCAAGCAAATAATCCAAATTATCTGCTTTGAACTGCATTTTCCGAGTCTACACTGCCATATAATGCTGTTCAAAGCAGATAATCTGGATTTTATGTGGCAGTGTAGAAGGGACCTCACATTGTTCTGGAAGAAGCTTAAAAGAAGCACCAACCTCCTCTACTCTTTCCACTTTTTTAATGCCTGGGGTGGGGAAATGGTAATGGTGGTCAAGGGTAGCTGCTCCCCTGAGGTGGCATTGGTGCATTCCATTCTATGGAAGGTAATGGTTTCCCCTTGACATTACATCTAGTCATGTCCAACTCTGGAGAGTGGAGCTCATCTCCATTTCTAAGCTGAAGAGCCAGCATTGTCTGCAGACACCTCCAAGGTCATGTAGCCAGCATAACTGCATGGAGCACCATTACCTTCCTGCCAGAGTGGTACCTATTGATCTACTCACATTTGCATGTTTTTGAACTGCTAGGTGGGCAGAAACTGGGGCTAACAGCAGGAGCTCACCCCGCTCCCCAGATTTGAACAGCCGGCCTTTCAGCCAGCAAGTTCAGCAGCTCAGTTGTTTATCCCACTGCGCCACCGGGGACTCTGATGATTTATCCATGGATCATATCAAAACCCTAATTTTGTCCCCAAAATCTGCCCTCAATTTATACATGACGTTGACTTGTACATCAGTATATACAGTATTATCCTTGAATGCTTCCAAGGGAAGGCTTTGTCCTGAAATTTCCCTTGCACGAAGCACATATCTTGGGGGTGTGCAGATGCCATTATTTTTCATTTCTAATCCATCTGTGCTTTCCTACCTCCTCCATCTTTTTTATCCTATCAGCAGAGATAGATTAAAAGGGTTCCACAAAGCCTTTTCATCCGTAGGCCTAGGAGCTCTTCATCATGATGTGCCTGAAGTTTGAATCTCACGCAACAAATAACTCAACTATACATTTATTTTGTGGAAGAAGAAATAAATGGCATCAGCCACACGTTCTGTATCCATGATCTATGGCAAAGGCCCTGGCCTTTTAGCAATGTGCACTTTGCTTTGTTGTATACATGGCTATTGCAATTATAGGCAATCATAAAACAGCTGTAAGTTATGTTTACAGTAAATTGGAGACTGTCTTGTTGTTTCAACATACAAAATTTTAACTTGTAAACGCTCAACACCTACCCCACGTTCAGTTAGAATCATAGAGTCATAGATATGGAAAAAAATCACAGGGATCATCCAGGCTAACTCCATGCCATGCAGGAACACACAATCTTGACAGATGGCCATTTGTCTTTGTTTTAAAAATGAAATAGACTCTACCACACCCCCTCCAGGATAGCATTTTTTTTACTGCCGAACTGCTCTTACCACAAGGACTTTCCTTCTAATGTTGAGGTAGCATCTCTTTTCCTATACATGCAGTCCCTAAGTTACAAACATCTGACTTACAAATGATTCATAGTTAAGCATGGGGGTGAGACAACTGGAAGTGAGAGAAATCTACCCCAGGAAGGGAAATTCACTGCTGGAAGAGTTATCTTGGGGAAAAGTTGTCTCCACTGAAACTTTACCTCCAATCCTTGTTTCTACAACAAGCCATTTTTTCCAAAATCTGGAGATCTCAGACAGAAAGTGAGGTGAAATCTTCTGAACAGAGGCTAGGAACACCACAGGGGCTTTAACGCTTCCCTATGCTATCCAAAGCATGCATGTACAAGGATTGAATGAAAAGTAATGCCTCCACCTTCGTAACTCCTCAGCAGATGGCAGGACTGGTATGTGGCAGGTACTGGCTTGTTCACCAGACTCTCCCCTACAGTTCCATTTTGGCGGGAAGCCTTAGCATTGAACAGTTGTGTTGTTAAAGTGCGAAGTAGGGAACCCTGCGCAGACGGTCGGTTCATGTGACTTAAGCAATGTGCAGTCATTGAATTATTGACATCAGAAGGTGTCACCCCACAGGAAATGCAAGCTGTTTATGGTGATTGTGTTGATGTGAATACTGTGCATCATTGGGCGAGTAAGTTTAAAGATGTTGAGGTGGGAACGTCTAACTTGCGTGACAAATAAACAGTTGGACATCCTGTAACAGCCACCAGCGGGTTTCAGAAGCAAAAGGTTGACAGATTGATTCAGGATGATCGTTGTATCACTCAGAGAGAAATTTCAAGCATAATTGGCATTTCACAAGAATGTGTGGGTCACATTATTGCTTTGCTTGGCTATCGGAAGATCTGAGCACAATGGGTACCCAGGATGAGAGAACTGTGAGACACTGTTTGTGGAAACAGAGTGTCAACTTCTTCCATGATGGCTACAGAAAACTTGTTCATCATTGGCAGAAATGTATCCAATTGTCTGGTGATTATGTGGAAAAGTGAATAGTGGTAGTTAAAGAGCACTTTCTAAGGATTATTTTTGCGTTTTATTTATTAAAATATTCCCATCCAAACGATATTCCAGTAACGAAGGTGGAGGCATTACTTTTCATTCAACCCTCGTATGTATATGTATGTATATGTATATCTGAAGTTACACTTAAAAATGTAGCTGTTCTGACTTGCATACAAATGCAGCTTAAGAACAAACCCACAGAACCTATCTCGTCTATAATTTGAGGACTGCCTGTAGTTTGAATCCCTTGTTCCACAACTACGTCTCTGGAACAGTGGGAAACAAGTTGGCTCACTCCTCAAAACGGCCTCCTTTGAAATATTTGAACATGACTATCATTTCCCCTCTTAACCTACTCTTCTCCAGGCTAAATAAATTGATTGTGCTCTTGTGTACATTTTCTGCTTCTGCCCTTGGGAGACTAGTAAGAAAAAAACACTGTTTTGTTTCTACAAGTGAAGAGTTGAGATTGAAGTATTCATTAATTCCACAGCTCAGAATGAAGTACTCATTTATTATTTTGTTTCCCATAGGGAGTGCTGGGGTTGAGGGTGGGGGTGTTGTTAGACACCCTCCAATATTATTATACTACCAATTTCAGTATTTTTTTGTGTCAGGAGTCACTTGAGAAACTTCAAATCACTTGTGGTGTGAGAGAATTGACCATCTGCAAGGACGTTGCCCAGGGGACGCCCAGATGGTTGATGTTTTACCATCCTTGTGGGAGGCTTTTCTCATGTCCCCACATGAGGAGCTGGCGTTGACAGAGGGAGCTCAACCCACTCTCCCCAGATTCAAACCGCTGACCTGTTGGGGAGCAGTCCTGCTGGCACAAGAGTTTAACCCATTGCGCCACCAGGGACTCCATACTACCAATTTCCATACTACCAGTGAAATTAAGGCAGCCTGTCATGTCTACATAACCAATACTATTGAAATAACTGCTTAATTTCCTATGAAGTATATGTTTTTATTTTATCTCAGTTTTCTCCCTGATCAAACATGTTCAATATTGTTTTAAAAGAGCATAAAACCTGAAAAGGGTGTTTTATCAGATGGATGGATGTAAACCTATGTATAACCAATACAATTAAATTACGCACAGCAATTCCTCTTTTAGCATTTTGAGAAAGAACATTTGCCTCCAGATGTCGTGAATAGAGAGCCTGGCTGTGAAGTGCTGCTGCCACTGTCTTCCTGTTGACTGTCTCCTTGCTTTGCAGGTGGTGAGCTTCTTCAGTCTACGCTATGACACCGCTCCCACTTGGATGGTACTGGCTGTGCTTTGGTGCTCCATGGTGCAGACCCTGCTTCTCCCATCCTTCATCTGGTCCTGTGAACGTTACCGGGCTGACCTCCGTACAGTGTGGGAACAATGTGTAGCAATAATGTCAGAGGAAGATGGGGATGAGGGTGAGCTTCTCCAATCCAGTAATCTTGTGATGTGTGTTTGAGGAGGAGGAAGATGCATGAGGCAGGCGGGAGGGACAAAACTATGTGAAAGATGGGAAAGTCATCACATTAGAACAAGAACACAGCAAATTACTCTTTATGGGTCCGCAGATGTCAAGCATCTCTCACCATTGGAACGTTCTTCCTAATGTATAGTCAAAATCTACTTTTCTGTAGTCCGAACTATTCAAGTTGTAATGTCAACAAATTCATAGGTTTGGCTTCGTTTTAAAGACAAATGAAAGCACAAGAGTGCACAAAACATATCATTTCCTAGAGCTAATCCCCACCACCACTGGAGTTACTGTCTACCACATTATACACACTCTCCTCCACCACCACATTCACTTTTTTAAAATGTATGAGATATCTAGTCCAAGCCTTGGGCTCTTGTCATCCCAATTAATTATAGTTTATTCTGTGTTTGTTTATGAACAGGAATAAATTATATTTAAAACAGCAGATAGGTTAAATATCACAAAAAGCATTGGGTAAATGAAGTTGGAATATCTAATTATCTGATATAGGGGAATGTTTTCTGGAAAATTCTGCTGCAATATCTCCATTAAGTGACAATGCTTTTGAGGAGTGCTTCTGGATTTTATACAGCTCTGATTTCTTTAAGGTGGATCTTACATGAACAAAGCCCTGGGAATTGTGCCCTAATACCAGGGCTGACATTGATTTGGTTCCAAGATAAGACAGGAATGGATGCTTATAGGGTATTTACATCCTCTAGAACAGTGGCTCTCAACCTGTGGGTCCCCAGATGTTTTGGCCTTCAACTCCCAGAAATCCTAACAGCTGGTAAACTGGCTGGGATTTCTGGGAGTTGTAGGCCAAAACACATGGGGACCCACAGGTTGAGAACCACTGCTCTAGACTAAGGCATAATTTCCTGAAAACTTTGTCATTGTTAGCTCTACCTTAAAGAAAGCACCAGTTCCTGACTAATCTTGGAACCAATGCAAGGTTGGTCCTAGTTAGTAGTTAGATGGGACACCACCAATATATACTGGGTACTATAGGCACTGTTTCGGAGGAAGGAACTGGTAAAATCACCTCTGATAATTCCTTGACTAAGAAAATCCCTTGAAATTTATGGTGTTGCCATAGGTCAACAGGTAACTAGATGGGACACACATAAAAACACATACACTGTGGAAATTGAGTCATAATCCTATAATGCAAGAGACAAATGCAGACCCCCTTCCATTTCTATATCTTGTAACCGATTTCACCAAAATATAACAAAAAAACTGGTGGTCTTGTATATGGCATTTCTAGCTTACTAGCATTCCTCTTTTTTTCTTTTATCATTTTGTCATTATTGTGGAATTTCACCAAAATTAAATTGAAAAATTGTGCATACTAAGTAGAGAATAACTGAGCAGGAAGGCATAGCGAAGCAGTGCAAAAGAAGGATCACAGGACCACACATTGGTAAAACAGCACCATAGCATTATTGCAGGGAACTATGATAGTGATTGAATACAAGCATGTTTCTATTTGCTTCAGCAGTGTGGCTGCTGCAAGATAAGAGGCTGCTGTGAAAAGGGGCTTGATCTCTCAGATCACCATGAGAAAACAAAGGCCGGGATTTTGAATTCATTAACTAAAACAAAAACTCACTTCAGTTTTGACCCTCCCTCCATGCATTTATTTATCAAAACACACACAGTGAGAGTTATAAAACTGTTCAACTGTGTGTATGGACTGGAGGTGTGGATGGGCTCTGTGTGTGGACTGGGGACATTACAATGACAACCTGTGGGCATACTCCATCGCTAGTTCCATAATCTCACTGATCACATCTGTAATGTTTTCAGAACTTGCTGTAGTATGGGAAATGCCAATTTACATAAACATGAGCAATCCTCTTCCCCAAGTGCTCTAAAGATCATATATCCACCTTTTTATCCCTAATAGAAAAACATGGAATTGAAAACAATCCACCAGCTTGCCCATCACCATGTTCCTAGGCAACATGTCTTGTGGCAATAGTATCCCTGGCCAAACCTATATGCATTTGTGAAGTGCACCTCTCCCCATTGGCATTTGCTAAAGGATTAAGATTTGCTGAGGGGCCACCCTCTGTGTACCACCAGTGAGATCATTACACTAGGCTGAAATATGGAAGAGGGCATTCTCAGTTTTGGTGCCCAAATGAGGAATGTGATGCCACTGGAGGCCCACCTGACACCAACACCCATGTCATTTACACACCATCAATGCCCAAAGACAGTATACAGTATATAATTTTGAAAAATAAAACTAAAACTGATTCACCACATCTAAAGATAATGACCACCCAAAAGCAAAAGCAGGCATGTGCTACAATGATTGTACCAACTTTTGTATGTGTAGAGTGGAGGAAACTAGAGAAATGGGGCAAGAAGAGATTGTTAACTCTTTAACTGTTGTGTTCTAGATGGCACTGGTGATGACTATGGTGATGGGAGGATCTGCAAGGTGCGATTTGATGCCAATGGTGCTGCGGCATTGAAGCGGGACCCCAGAGATGCTAAGCTGCTGCCAGTCCATCACATGCTGTTGCCCCATGACAGGGTGCACTACCTGCAGGTGAGATGTCCACGCATCTTAAATCTGCTCAGAGACATTGCTGATCTGAAACACAGCCTGGTTTTGAGTGTTGTTCTTTCTTTACTGTCCTAATTTTAGATTTTAAAAAAATACTGGTAGCCAGATTTTGTTCATTTTCACGGTTTCCTCCTTTCTGTTGAAATTGTCCACATGCTTGTGAATTTCAGTGGCTTCTCTGTGTCGTCTGGCATGGTGGTTGTCAGAGTGGTTTAGCATTTCGGTGTTCTCAAATAATATGCTGTGCCAAGGTTGTTTCATCAGGTGCTCTGCTATGGCTGACTTATCAGGTTGAAGTAGTTTGCAGTGCCTTTCATGTTCCTCAATTCATGTTTGGGCAATGCTGCATTTGGTGGTCCCTATGTAGACTTGTCCACAGCTGCATGGTATGCGGTAGACTCCTGCAGAGGTGAGAGGATCCCCCTTGTCCTTTGTTGAGTGTAGAATTTTTGTTGGATTTTCTTAGTGGGTCTGTAGACAGTTTTGTAGGCTGTGTTTTTCATTAGCTTCCCTATGCAGTCAGTAGTTCTCTTAATGTATGATAAGCACACTTTTCCTCTGGGTGGATCTTTGCTTTCAAGTATATTAGTGCAATCTACCATGCTTCTTCTGGCTGTGGGCCATCAGGTATGAAGAGAGGGGAGGAGCTTGGTCAGTATTCTTTTTGTTGTAGTAGTCCTTGTAACATTACACTCACTTGTAAGTGGCAGATAACCATTTTTTTAAATGACTTAGGTTTAATGAATGCCTGTCCTTTTGTTTTAGGTCCCTATCTCTCGCAGGATGTCTCACGATGAAACAAACATCTTCTCCTCTCACCGCTCTTCTCCTTCCTTCCTTCACAAGTGGTCCTCATCGGATGACATCCGTGTGGCAGCCCCCTACAATCCTGAAGGAGTCCCAGGCTTTCTACCTCCTGAACTTCGCTACCACCACCGTCGAAGGCCTCCGGAGGATGAGTTCACGACTCTTCGGCAGTTCTTGGAATCTGGACTGGCCATCCGGGCCCCAGGACCCCCCGGATCCACAGCTTGCTTCTTCCGCGACGAGATTACCACCTTCATTGATGAAACACCCGTACCTTCCCCGCGCAGCAGTCCACGCCATTCGCTCCTCCCATTCTCAATACAACAGGAGGGACAAAGCTCCCCAGCTGAGCAGGACGGAGATACGGACAGGGAAAGACAGTGTTCACTGACTGGTGGTGAAAACCTAGGCCTCTGCAGTGGTGAACAAAGCACTGACCAATGGACCACAGCAGCTTATGAGGCACAGACCTTCAGCAAGGTCAGCCTATGAACTGGAACTAACAGCGTTTCCTGGGTTTTTAAGGAAAACTTGAAATCTCTAACCAATCCTAGGACTCAAGGGTAATTTAGATCCTCGTGTCTCTCACCATGTTTATGGGGGAGGAAATACTGCCACTCTGATTCTTTCTGTGGTGTGGAGGAAAGGGGGGGAAAAGGAGCAGGGAGCAAATGGCATTGTTGGAAGGAACCGTGATGCCCTGCTCTCAGGTGACAAATACATGCACGGACCACCACAGCTCACAGAGGACATTTTTTGTCAGTTCCACCCCGTTGGTAGGTGTTAGCACCACCCATGTCTCCCCTATCTTAGCTCCACCCATTATGAGAAACACACATTGATTGCCAAGTATGGGGTAGGAAGGTATTAAAAAAATTATATTTGGAGTGTCACATGTGCTTGGCTTTGTGTGTGCGTGTTTTATTCATTTTGTAAAAGATACAATCATCTGGGACTATGATCCACTGAAAACCATGGAATGCACTAAAAATTTAGGGGATTTTACTGTGACTATGTGATTAATGTGACTTTTAAAAGGGCCAACTGAAAAATAGAGGTTATGGGACTACATTTCCAGGGACTATAGCAGGTATGGGCAGACTTCGACCCTCCAGGTGTTTTGGACTTCAACTCCCAGCTGTTAGGAATTGTGGGAGTTGAAGTCCAAAACACCTGGAGGGTCAAAGTTTCCCCATGTCTGGACTATGCTTCACAAATAAATATAGGCTACTACTTTGGAGGTGTAGCTAATACTCCAAAAGTCATGATCATAATTCAAAATGATCTTAACAGGTCAGAGAGCTGGGCCAAAGCTAACATAATGACTTTCATCAAGGAGAAAAGTAGGATATTACACTTAGGCAGGAAAAAATTAAATGCCCAGATACAGGATGGGTGACACCTGGCTCAACAATACGTGTAGAACCAACAGAAATTCACTTGCAGGTTACAGACGATAGAGAGATGGTCTTTTAGTGCTAAGATGGGGTCAACTGTCAACTGTCAACTAAAAACTCAGCAGTCATTTGTATTGTGACAGGAAGTCCATTCATTTCCTCCTTCATTGCTTCCGTTTCAATCAAATTCACTCTAGTTCAATCTAATTCACTCTGAAGACCCCCTGCTGGTGCAGCAGGTTAAACCGCTGAGCTGTTGAACTTGCTAATTGAAAGGTTGGTGGTTCAAATCCGGGGTGTGGGGTGAGCTCCTGCCAACCTAGCAATTTGAAAACATGCAACTGTGAGTAGATCAATAGGTACAACTTCTGTGGGAAGGTAACAGCACTCTCTGCCATCAAGCTGGCCACATGACCTTGGAGGTGTCTATGGAGAACACCGGCTCTTTGGCTTAGAAATGGAGAGGAGCACCACCCACTAGACTTAATGTCAAGGGGAAATCTTTACCTGAAATGAACATGATTATTATTGCTCAACAATAATTTAAAATAATAGGCCTTGCTCACAGCTCTTTGATTTCTCGAGTGTTAGATATGTTTCCTATTTCTCAATGTCTTTTTTTTTCTTATCTGAAGAAGCAAAACTTCTTTTCAAGTCCCCACCAAACCTTTCTTTGATGTATCTGAGGGCCCTTCCACACAGCTATATAACCCAGAATATCAAGAGAGAAAATTGCACACTTTATGCTTTAAACTGGAATATATAGCAGTGTGAACTTAGATAACCCAATTCAAAGCAGATATTGTGGGACTTTCTGCCTTGATATTCTGGGTTATATGGCTGTGTGGAAGGGCCCTGACTGGATGTAACCTTCCTGTGGGTCTTCTGCTGTATGCCTTCCTCACATAAGATTTCCCTGCTAATGGGTTTATGTTTATATTTCTGGTACCCGCGTTGTTTGGTTGCCATTCCTCCTTGACAGCACAATGGCAATATGGGAGGGAAGGCAAACAGATAAATGAGCCTTAGGAACCAGGGAAAGAAGTTAGCCAAGGAGGTAAAGGAAAAGTTAAAAAGGAGGAACTTAGGGAGCCGGAAATAAGGGAGAAATCCAGAGAAGAGGCGGTCACAGGTATTTTAAAAAATCATGTAATGAGTAATGTACTAACATTTTTGGATGGTACAGAGAATGTCAGATGGAGAATGAAGAAGCTGCACATTATCTTTGCCAGGAAAGGAGGAGAGAGTCCTTGCCATTTCCAGAGCAGGAATAGTTTGTTTTGCATCATGAAGACGGGGCTTTCGAAGACATCTTCATTTAAAAGAAACATATTTTAAGGGATGTATTGCTTGATCTAAATAGAAAACAAGTGCAAAGGGGTCTGCAGAGTCACATTTACACTTGGTGTATTGTTGCAGTCACACGTACAGCATTAGTGTTGTCTGGGTTGCTGTGAGTTTTCTGAGCTGTATGGCCATGTTCCAGAAGCATTCTCTCCTGTCGTTTCACCCACATCTCTGGTAGGCATCCTCAGAGGTTGTGAGGTATGTTGGAAATTAGGCAAGTGAGGTTTATATATCTGTGGAATGTCCAGGGTGGGAGAAAGAACTTTTGTCTGCTTGAGGAAAGTGGGAATGTTGCAAATGGCCACCTTGATTAGCATTGAATGGCCCCGCAGCTTCAAAGCCTGGCTGCTTCCTGCCTGGGATAATCCATTGTTAGGAGGTATTAGCTGGCCCTGATTGATTATTGTCTGGAATTCCCCTGCTTTTTAAGTCTTGCTCTTTATTTACTGTCCTGATTTTAGACTTTTTAAAATACCAGTAGCCAGATTTTGTTCATTTTCATGTTCTCATAGTGTTGTCATTGTCATCCTTAATTCTTTCTTTTCAAACCTTTGTAGGACTCCATAAATTTACAAAGACAGAAGTAAGGGCCCTTCTACACAGCTTCAAAACTCCGAAATGCCAAAACTTCTTTCCCTAAGAACAATGCCAAGGACCAGATCTCTGTTTTCCATACAGCAGAATCTGACTCCCTGCATAAAATTGAAGACTCCAAAAGCGCACTTCTTCCTCTTCCCTTGAGAAAGAAGCTCCTAAGTGACCAGACTGCTCCCTTGCAGATCTGCCACTCCATAGTACACTATCTCTCTCCTTCCCATGGAGCAGAGCATAGTGGGTGAACCAGACTCCTCGGATCGGTCACAATTTTAGCATTATTAGACGGAGTCTTTTATAGGAATATTCTGTTGATGTAGTCCCAAAATTGTAAATTAATGATAGACGTCTTCCATCCTTCCATCCTCAGTTTCCTGGCCAGATGTTGATCTTCTTGATTAGTGTTAACAAACACAAGGCTTGTGTTGACTTCCTTCTCAACATAAGGAAGGTTGCAAACTTCCTTATGTTAGCATTATGTTATGATAGCATTTCTGTTATCACTGTCCCAGTTCTTATCAGGGTTTCTCATTAGCAAGTCCAGCAAGCAGGTAATTAATCACTGCAAACCTTAATATTATACTGCTGTTTCCAAAATTATTAACTCCATCCATACAACTTCCATTCTTCCATTCATTCCCACACATCATTATTAAATTCATATTTGTCAAATCTGCACATTTAATTTCTTATTACACTCAGAATATCATGGCAGAATAACCCACAATATGTGCTTTGAACTGGGTTATCTGAGTCCACACTGCCATATACCCCAGTTCAAAACAGACAATGTGGGATTTTATTCAGCTGTGTGGAAAGGATCTCAGAGTCTGCTATTGCCTTGACCAGATTGCAAAGAGAGGAGTACTCTCAAACATCTCACTACTGTGCATACCCTGATTACAATCACTTTCGTGCATTAAACACATTGAAGGGCCCACTAGGGGTTTTGCAAATTAAATCCCAACCTGGACATCGAGAATTTGAGTTATGTAAGAGATTGGTGTGGATGCATGCAGGTCTCATTAGCATGGTGAAATCACAGCTCGATTAACAAGACAACCGCAGAACATTCAGTCACTCATCAGTTTCGAGCTGATCTGGCCATTTGGACCAAGGACATTCGGGCTCAAAGTTCATGCTGTGCCCCGCTACTCTCATGTTTTGCCCGAAATGACAGTGTCCTCAGCCCAAACTTAATTGAGATAAGACAAGCCGTGCATCAGTCAAAACACTTTAGAATAAACTAGAGCTTAGGCCCTTTTTTAATCCTTAATGTAACATTATCAGATTATTTGTGCGGGTAATGTGCAATTCTAATTGATTTTAAAGCTAGAGGGACCCATTAGTCTTCTATTGCCTGCCCTCTTATGTAACCCAAATACACTCACTCATCCCTGTTCTAAAGCCAGAATTCTTGGGGGAACTGAATGTATGTATTTTATGAAGCCAAGAGCGGCAGAATCCATTATTTTTCCGGGGCAGTTGCTCCAAGTTAATTTCCCTCTCTGGAAAACTATTTACTGCTCTCCGTATTTCTGAGAATTTTGGCAGCTCCCATGCACTCTTTTCTTGGCAGAAATCATTAGGTATTTACTTACATGTAACAATACAGTTCCATCTTGTCTTTACTAATAGTATAATATAGTATATTGTATATACATATAATATTTATAATATTATAATGTAACACAATATAATACTAGAAATAATAATACAATATTATAATTATATATTTACATTGCATGTAATATTACTAATAATATTACAATATAATGGTATAATACATTTCCATCTTGTCTTTACTAATAATATAATATAGTATATTGTATATACATATAATATTTATAATATAATGTAATACAATATAGTAATAGTAATCATAATACAATATTATAATTATATATTTACATTACATGTAATATTACTAATAATATTACAATATAATGGTATAATGCAATAGAGTAATATATAATACTGATATTGTACTATGCTAATAATATAATATATTGTATGAAAATATATCCGAGTCCCCTTCAGGGTGAGAAGGGTGGCATATAAATGCCGTAAATAAACAAATAAATAAATAATACTATATTGTACCTGGACCCCCTGGTGGCGCAGCAGGTTAAACCTCTGAGCTGTTAAACTTGCTGACCGAAATGTTGGCAGTTCAAATCTGGGGAGTGGGGTGAGCTCCCACTGTTAAGCCCAGCTTCTACCAACCTAGCAGTTCAAAAACATGCAAATGTGAGTAGATCAATAGGTACCACTCCAGTGGGAAAGTAACAGCGCTCCATGCAGTCATGCTGGCCACATGACCTTGGAGGTGTCTATGGACAACTCTGGCTTTTCAATATAGAAATTGAGATGAGCACCACCCCCCAGAGTCGGACATGACTCAGGGGAAGCCTTTAGATTTAACAATATTATACTCTTCTGTTATTTTATTGGACTTACAGCTCATCTCCGTATAAATGATTTGGATTGGAGAATGTGTATATTAGCAAGTGGAACTTGCAGCACAATAATGTGGCATGGGTCCCAGTTTTTTG